GGTGGCTGAGTCTGTGGAGGAGGTGTACAGGGTTCGTCCTCCGCGCGTCATTCACCCTGACGGACTTGTCCGTCCCTACTGCCTGCGCGAGAGCACGGGGAACCAAGTGCTGCAGGTACATGCATGCACCTAGCCTGGCACGGAGACGCACACGCTCGCTCGCTCACTCGCTCACTGACTCACTCACTCACCCACTTACTCACTCGCACACTCACTCACTCGCACACCCACTCACCCACTCACTCACCCACCCACTCACCCACCCACTCACCCACTCACCCACTCACTCACTCGCTCACTTACTCACTCACTCACCCACTCACTCACTCGCACACTCACTCACTCGCACACTCACTCAGTCACTCACTCACCCACTCACTCACTCACCCACTCACTCACTCACCCACTCACTCGCTCAGTCACTCACTCACTCACTCACCCACTCACTCGCTCACTCACCCACTCACTCACTCAGTCACTCACTCACTCACTCACCCACCCACTCACTCACTCACCCACTCACTCACTCAGTCACTCACTCACGCACCCACTCACTCAGTCGCTCACTCACTCATTCACTCACTCAGTCACTCACTCACTTACTCGCTCTCTTACTCTGTCACTCGCTCAGTCGCCCACTCACTCCCTCGCTCACTCACTCACCCACTCAGTCACTCACCCGTTCACTCACTCATCCGCTACATCACCCCCTCATTCACCAACCCGCTGACCCACTCACTCACCCACTCAATCACACAAACACACTTTACCTCGCTATGAGTCTATGGGTCTCTGTGTGTGGTGAGTCTCTGTGTGGTGAGTCTATGGCTCTGTGGTGAGTCTATGGGTCTCTGTGTGTGGTGAGTCTCTGTGTGGTGAGTCTATGGGTCTCTGTGTGTGGTGAGTCTCTGTGTGGTGAGTCTATGAGTCTCTCTGTGTGTGTGTGAGTCTGTGGGTCTGTGTGTGTGTGATGAGTCCATGGGTCTCTGTGTGTGGTGAGTCTTTGTGTGGTGAGTCTATGGGTCTCTGTGTGTGGTGAGTCTCTGTGTGTGGTGAGTCTATGGGTATCTGTGTGTGGTGAGTCTCTGTGTGGTGAGTCTATGGGTTTCTGTGATGAGTCTATGGGTCTCTGTGTGTGGTGAGTCTATGGCTCTGTGATGAGTCTATGGGTCTCTGTGTGTGGTGAGTCTGTGTGTGGTGAGTCTATGGCTCTGTGATTAGTCTATGGGTCTCTGTGTGTGGTGAGTCTCTGTGTGGTGAGTCTATGGGGTTCTGTGGTGAGTCTATGGGTCTCTGTATGTGGTGAGTCTGTGGGTCTCTGTGTGTGGTGAGTCTCTGTGTGGTGAGTCTATGGGTTTCTGTAATGAGTCTATGGGTCTCTGTGTGTGGTGAGCCTCTGTGTGGTGAGTCTGTGGGTCTCTGTGTGTGGTGAGTCTCTGTGTGGTGAGTCTATGAGTCTCTGTGTGGTGAATCTGTGGGTCTCTGTGTGTGTCTCTGTGTGGTGAGTCTATGAGTCTGTGTGTGTGGTGAGTCTCTGTGTGGTGAGTCTATGAGTCTCTGTGTGGTGAGTCTGTGGGTCTCTGTGTGTGGTGAGTCTCTGTGTGGTGAGTCTATGGGTCTGTGTGTGTGGTGAGTCTCTGTGTGGTGAGTCTATGAGTCTCTGTGTGGTGAGTCTGTGGGTCTCTTTGTGTGGTGAGTCTCTGTGTGGTGAGTCTATGAGTCTCTGTGTGTGTGAGTCTATGGGTCTCTGTGTGTGGTGAGTCTCTGTGTGTGAGTCTATGGCTCTGTGGTGAGTCTATGGGTCTCTGTGTGTGGTGAGTCTCTGTGTGGTGAGTCTATGGCTCTGTGATGAGTCTCTATGTGTGTGTGAGTTTATGGGTCTCTGTGGGTGTGGTGAGTCTCTGTGTGTGTGAGTCTCTGTGTGTGGTGAGTCTGTGAGTCTCTCTGTGTCTATGTCGTTGTCTATCTGATTGTGTCTTTCTTTCCATTCCTGCTGCCGTTGAAAGGATTAAAGACACACAGACACACAGACACACACACAGACACACAGACACACACACAGACACAAAGACAAAGACACACACACACTCACACACGGAGACACACACACACAGACACACACACAGACACACACAGACACACACACACATAGACACACACACACAGACACACTCACACAGACAGACACACAGACACACACAGACATACACACACAGACACACACACACATAGACACACACACACGGAGACACACAGACACACACACACACAGACAGAGAACACACAAACACACACACACACAGACACACGCACACACAGACACACACACACAGAGACACACACACATACGAACACACACAGACAAACACACACACAGATACACGCATATACACACACAGACACACACACAGACACACAACAACAACCGCCCTTCGCGACTAAGTGGCGGTGACGTCACCACGACGCTTGTACCAGGCTATGTGCACCTTGAGGCCACGTGAAGTGTTGAACGCCCCGCTGGCAGGAGGTCACGGGGCAGACCCAGGTGCCACGGGTCGACTGACTGAGATGAGTGGCTGATGCACCACCTGTGCCCCCTACTGTGCCAACCTCCTGTGCTTTAGCCACCCGGCGCTCCGCTCGTTATTGTGAGCGTCGCTCCTCCGCCCTCCTTTGTTGTTGGAGGGCGACTGCCTCCAACTGCTCAGTAGCGTCCTTCACGAGCCTCCTCCACAGAGGCCGATCTTGACACCGCTGGTACCAGTCATCGGCAAGTCCACTCAGCTCCACGTCCTCCTGTACCACATCACTCCATCTCTTCTCTAGTCCGTGCCGCGCCCGTTTAGCCCCCTTGATCCGGCCGAACAAAAGCTGTTTCGGCATGCGGTGGCTGGGCAGGCGGGCTACATGACCCAGCCAACGCAGCCTTGCCTGTCGGAGGAGCTCACGGATGGGACCTTGCCCAGATCTTTCAAGGATTTGTGAACTCCTCACACAATCCAGCCTGGTTAAACCCAGGATGGATCGTAGGCAGGCCAGCCTAAATGTTTCTAACCGGCGAAGATGTTCCATTAGGGGGGTCCACATTTCGCAAGCGTAGAGAAGGGAGGGAATGACCGTGGCCGAGAAGACCTGAAGCTTAGTGCGGAGCGACAGACCAGGTAGCTTCCACACAGCGTTACGCAACCGATGAAAAGATATTGCCGCTCGACTGATTCGGAGTGAGACCTCTGCTGTTAAACTGGAGCCAGTCATAAGCACACTGCCCAGGTATGGGAAACTCTCCACTCTCTCCACAACTGCCCCATCACCGATTGGGAGTTGTGGGGGTGGAGTGTCCGATGGTACAAAATACCCAGGCAGGTGCTTAGTTTTGGTGGGGCTGATGGTAAGGCCCCACCTCTTAGTGGCACGCTCCAGTCTCAGCAGCAGCGTCTCCAACTCCTCCTCTGACTGAGCAGCTATTACCAAATCATCGGCATACATAACGTGTTTGAGCAATAGGGAGCCATCCCCTGACCACACCCGGGCATCGATCAGCCTCCTTTTATATCTGTACCAAATGGAGTTTCCCCCGGTACAGCTATTGAAGGTTTCACGAACTACATGGTCAAAATAGATGTTAAATAATGTGGGAGCCAGAGGACATCCCTATCGCACCCCAAGGTATACAGGGAATGGCTCTGACTCCCGGCCACGTAGTTTTACCCGGGCCCGCTCACCATCATGAAGGTCCTTAATGATCATGAGCAGAGGGTCAGGGACTCCAAAAGCACGAAAAACAACCCAGAGCCCAGGCCAACTGATGGTATCATAGGCCTTGACCAGGTCAATAAAGCAGAGATGTAGGTCTTGTTGGAATTCCCTACTCTTCTGCTGTAGCAGACGGACAGAAAATATGGCATCTGTGCAGGACCGCCCTTTCCGGAAACCGCATTGGGGCTCCGCAAGCCTCTCCTCAGCGTGCCTGGCAAGGCGATGTTGAATAATCCTTGCCAGGACCTTTCCCGGCACACTGAGGAGTGAGATGCCCCTGTAGTTGTTACAGTCTGTGCGGTCCCCCTTCTTAAAGAGGGGGACCACCAGGGCATCCTTCCAATCCTGCGGAACCCGTTCAGTGGTCCAGACTGTTGCTATGATGTCATATAGGCCAGTCTGTGCACAAACGCTACCCTCCCTCAGCATTTCGCTTGGGAGATCATCTCTGCCCGCTGCTTTTCCTGGTCTCAGACTCCAGATCGCCTTCAGTACTTCCTCAACAGATGGCACCTCAGCCAGCCACTCACAGGGGGTGACTTCTTCCAATATTTGAGGCACCGCAGCCTCAGCAGGGTCATCCCCACTTTGTGCCACGATGTTTTCCTGGCTGAGGGATTTCCCCTACCCCAGGACCTCACAGAAATGCTCAGCAAATCTGCAAAACTGTTCCTGGGGGTCGGAGATTGTATCACCGTTTTTTCCCCTAATCATGGTAATAGGTGTGGTGCTGCAGGTTACTTTTTTGATGGAGTTAAATAGAGATTTGTGATCACGGGCCACTGAGGCAGACTCCATCTCCTCAGCAACCCGCGACCACCACCCATCCTTGCAGCGCCTCACGGCTCTCCGAACCTCCGAGCGAAGGCTGCGGTAAGCCTCCTCATTCTCTGACGTGGGATTCTGTAGCCGATGAAAGTGGGCCTGTCGCTTTTTCTCAACTATCCTGAACACCTCCTCTGTCAGCCAGGGTCTCTGGGGAGGTCTGGACCGCGCACCCAAAGCAGCCATTGCAGCTGCATGAGTCACAGTCCTAAACCTCGCCCATTTACCCTCGACATCAGGAGGAGTCGGGGACGATGCCAATCCCAGCCGCAAGCGATGATGAAATTCTCGCTTGCAACTTTCATCAGATAACTGAGACCAGGCCACTTTAGGTCGGAATGGGGTCCTGGGTGTACACCCACCAGCGGAGTGGAAGAATGGCAGGCGCATCTTACAGATGACTAGTCGATGGTCAGAGGGCAGATCAGCTCCACGGTAGGTCCTGGTGTCAAGGACATGAGCTCGCATCCGCTGGTCCGTCACTATGTAGTCCAGCAGATGTTCTTGCTTGGACCCGGCATGCATCCATGATGT